GGGCTCTCTGCCCTGGACCAGGGACCCCAGATCACCTTCCTCACACCTGTGGGCTACAACTGTTGCCTCCTCTCATCCCTCCTGGCTCCACCACAATCTGAGTTTCACTCTCACACCTCTGTTTCAYCAGGACATGATCCACACACAGGTCATCTAAAACCTTCTCGCTGCTGCATTCAAGAGCTTCTCAGCCACACTCTCCTGAACCTCACACACATTGGTCCTTTTTGAAACTTACTCCTTCTTCATCTTCTGTTTCACAGTACTGGAGTTTTCGTTTATACTTCACCACTTTCCTTCTTCATCCTGCCCCCTAGGTACACATATCTTTCAAAGCTCAAGCCTCATTCATCTCTCCTTTTCTTTCCTCCATATTCCCAGAGTAAGGGCTCCCTCATTTTTAAAGCCCCTGAGCATCTCTATGATGAAAGACTCCAACACCTTGAGCTGTAGGCCAACCTCCTCTACAAGCTCCAGTTCTCTTCCTGGCTGTCTCATCCTGACCTGGCCTCTCCCTGCTCTGATGAACTCCCATCACCCAGCCCCTCTGACTGCCTGTCCTCTGAACTTGTGTGCAAAGGCCAGAGGCCCCATGATCCTATCAGGCACCCGGCCTGAAATGTTTGTGATTCCTGCYACAGACAGGAATCTGAGCTCACAGGGTGGACTGGGGTTGAGGATCTTCCTGTCCTTGCCCCCTCCAGCCAGCCTCTGAATCACAGCAAGTCTTCCCTGGAAATTCTGCTGTATGATTTCTTTCCTCTACATTTTCACTGACCACCCAACCTCTGGACTGTGTTATAAGATTACTCCACAGCTTCTGAATCATCCTGTTGTTTAGTCAACTAACATTCAATGATGATATATGACAATACTAAGATGAATCAGGCACGAAGACAGGTATATTTGAAGTCAAGAGAACAGAAAGAAATTTGAGAAGAGATAAAGGGCAATGGGAGTTCATGAGATGGAGGTGTCCCTCCCAGAGAGTGGGCTTCAAGAAAATTTTTCATGCAGCAGAAATGACATGAGAACTGGATAGACAGGATTAGCCGAATCTAGACATGAATAAAGGTATTCATAGAGTCATATCAGGACTTAACTGCCGTCCTGCCTCTTAATACCCTGTTTCTTAGACCAATTTACACGATGCCCATTTTCCTCAATCATAAAACATAGGTAATAATATATTTTGCTCAAAAGCTTTCTGTTAGGCTTAAATGGATGTGTAATGTTGTATCTCGGAATACAATATGGAGTGGGAAAATAAGAAAGGAGGATGAGATATAAACTGTAACAATATACAATGATAAATTAAAGGTATATCACACAATGGTTGCCATGGGTTTTGAAGAGGGGGAGTTGTGACCACAAAGCGGCAACAGAAAGGAAACTCTGGAGTGAGTTTCTGTGCTCTGACTGTAATGGTTACACAAATTTAAGCATGAATTTTAACTGATGGACCAGTGTGACCCCAAAAAAGGTCAGTTTTACCATATGTAAATTTATAAGGTATTTACACAAAAACAAAAATGTTTTCATGAGCATACACAAACACAAAGCTGTCTTTGGCAGGGTGAAAACTGGGATGGATTAAAAACAATGCAGTGAGGGCCTCACACAGATTAGTAAAGACAATGTGCCATGTACAGGGGAGGAGGACTGTCCTTTGTGTCTGGGACAGGAGAGAGAAAGACCCACAGGAGGGTAAGTAAGTGAGGAAGTGATGATGAGGCAGAAAAAAAGAGACAGTTTTGAAAAATGTTATCAGCAAGTCCCATGACTTTTTTTTTTTTTTTTTAAACCATTATAGCCATCAAGCCAAGTTTGGCACAGTGTGCTGTGACATAAATTTGGGGACTGACTTAATTAAGGAAAGAATTTACAGCATTTGGAAACTGGCTGTTGGAGTGCAGTCCCCGAAGGGACCCCACAAGGAGAAGTAGATTTGGGACGGAAGAAAGGCAGCAAGCCCAGCTTGGGCTAAAACRAGTTTGGGGTCCCTGTGGAACTTATAAATCAAGATGAGTAACTGGCTGCTGGCTGTGTAGATCTGGAGTTGAGGCAAAAGACCTGCTTGAACAGATCCACTTGGACTTTCCTAACCATACAACTGAAAAGGAAAGCTGTGGGAACTGATGAGTATCTCCCCACCCCTGGGGCCACAGGTAGGGTGAGAAGTACTCTGGGAATCACAGACTCTTAAAGGGTATGCAAAAGAGGAGCCTAGGAAAGAGTGTGAGAATAAGTAACCAGAGTTACAGGCAGAAACTCTGGGGTATCAAGGGGACATCTGAAGAAGAATGTGGTCAATAGTTGCACTAGGTAGCTTTCTGGCACTATAACAAATACCTGAGATAATCATCTTCTAAAAAGAAAACGTGTATTTGGCTCATGATTTGGGGGTCTCTCTAGTCTATGATCAGTTGGCCTCATTGCTTTGGGTCTGTGGCAAGGCAGCATCATGGAAGGAGTAAGTAGTGAAGCAAAACCACCCACCTCATGGCTAGGAAGCAAAAGAGAGAGAGAAAGAGACGAGGGTCTCACTCTCCTGTCTAAGGGCATGCCCCCAGTGACCTGAAGACCTCCTACTATACCCCATCTACCAATAGTGCCTTGCTGGGGTGCTATTGGGGGACAAAGCTTCCAACACATAGGCCTTTGGAGGACATTTAAGATTGAAACTATAGCACTAATGTCAAATGCTTTCAGAAAAGTTGCCACCAAATTTGGTGATATGGAGCCCATGGGCAACCTTACTTACCCTCAGACCCAGAGAACAAAGTTAGACTATAGAAGGATTGTATATAAAAGGGAAGCAAGAAGCTCCTTTTTACTTAGAGGAGGACCCAAGCCTAGGGATGTTTTTAAAAGTTTTAAGAGGTTTAAAAAAGTTACTAAAGAAGAAAAAGTTGTAATCTAGGACAGAAGAAATGAGTGACAGAACCAATACTAGGCTAGGGTATATGAGCTTAATAATGCAGAATTTTTGCTGTTTCTTCAGAACTTTAAAGACCATGATAATCAGAGTCAGTCCCAGGGAGAACCATAGGAACCTTCAGATAAGGTCAGGGGCWTAAGAGTATGGTCAACAGCCCCAGCCAGAGGACGGCTGGTCAGGATAAGGTAGTGGTAGGACTTACTTCTGACTTTTGAGCTCTGCACTAGATATATGTACTTAAATTATTATAAAAGTAAAWTTTTATACAACTTAAAGAGATCATCAGTGACCCTGACAAGCCTCATTCAGCATAACAGTAGGAAAAGAAGCCAAACTACAATATAAGATGAGAATGATTCAAGGATGAGAAAATAGGGACATTACCTATGGTGATCTCCTTCAAGAAGCCTGCCTCAAAGGGAAGAAAAGCAGAGTGACAGATGTTTGTTTTGCTTTGAAGACAGCAAAAACTAAAGCATTTTGAATTACGGATGAGAAAGACCTAGTAGAGGAGAGGTGAACAATGCAACAAGATACAGGAAATGATTAGGAGGCAGTGGAAGGTCTGCAGTCTCAGAGTAACGGAGAAGGGTGTGCCTTTGTCAGAAATGTCGTAGATGCTGATGGAGGCTACTCAACATTCACTTGCTCTTCTTAGACCCTCTGGCCTACGTGAAGCTGCTCTAGGGTAGACCGGCCCAGTCTAAGCCAATCAGTAAAATCCCTAGTCCTCAGATACAGTGATTGTTCCCAGAATGGACATGTGGCCTGATGCTGGCCAACAAGACCTAAGGAGGCATTTGGTGGGGATAACAACTTAAAAAAAAAAAAAAGTGGTTCCCTCTTTTCTGAAAGAGCTGCAGGAAGCCACTTCTTTCTTTTGCTGAAAGGGAATGAGAACGTGTGTAGCCCCAATTGCAGCTGGCAGCCATCCGATAACCACAAGGGGGAAATGCCCCTAGGATGAAGACAACACTTGGAGGGAAAGCAGAAAGCTGAAAAGATCCTGTATCCTTCATAATGAGCCACTGGATCAATGGGCCCTAGAGCCTGACCTTCAACTGGACTTCTAGGAAAAGAGCCAATTGGTTGGGGTGTCCAGTATTCACAGCCTCTCTCACTGATAAACATCTTTTCCTCTGTGACTAAAGAACAAGACACTTAGCTGGGATTGTAACTCAGTGGAAGAGCACTTGCCTCGCATGTGTGAGGCACCGGGTTTGATTCTCAGCAYGCATATAAATAAATAAAAAAATAGAGGTCCATTGAGAACTAAAAAATATTAAAAGAAAAAAAGAACAAGACACTTGAAGAGGCAGGAATGAAGAGAGATGATGTCACATGGAATGTTTACATTTTTGTTTGTAAAGTAAAAAGTGATCTAAATGCTAAGAATGGGAGGGATCTGTAAGGAGTACAGAGCTTAGGGGGAAAGATGAAAACCAGACCAAATTGCCCAGAGAAATAGATCACCACTCCCTGGAGACAATCTCTGGGCTTGCCTAAGTAGATGAGCAGGACAGGGGGGCGAAAAAAAGTTGGGGGTATCAGTGAAATAGTAGAGATGAACTGCAGGCTAGACTAGGGAGGGAGTGAAAGCAGGAACGAGCAGGAATGAGTAGATGAATAAAACAAAGGGGTAAAGATGCCAGATACCTTCTTGAATCAAAGAACAGGAAATGAGAGCACCAAGAAGACAATGCAAAGACAGGTCCTAGTAAGCAAAATCAAGAGTCCCCAGAATAACATAAAGCAGGACTGTGAGTGCAGCACCCTCTCCACCCCACTGCCACCCTGGCTCCTGAGTACTATTCCAGAATTAGATGTAGTGAAAAATTTAACTCTAACTGAAGGTGGGTGGACATGGATAAGAACTCCAGAGGGGCCTCGTTCTTCCTACATCACCCAGAACCAGGTGCACATCAGTAGGCTGGAGGAGAAATGTTTGCAAGTTTGTGTTTCTGAAAGCTCTGTGGGGAGAAAGGATATCCTGTGGAGGAAAAATAAGRAACATTGCAATAAAAAGCATCTCTTAAAATGGTTTTGGTAAAGGACTCACCTCTGCATTCATCTTGGTCTYTTCCTTCAGTGGCTGTGAAAACAAAAGCAGAGGTTCAGGACCCTAATGGTATCACCCGAACTCCATACTCCTTCATGCTAGCCCACTTCCTCCTCCACTACTTCCTGTCCCACCAGTCCCATCTTCCCCTCCTTGTGCCCACCCACAGGGTATCCAGGTCAGTGTCTTCTGTACTGAGGCTGGCGGTGGCCAACTTCCCTGGGACATCATAACAGCGATGTTTCTTACAGAAGGGCATTTCCAAAAACCAGGTCCCTCTCCTACACTGGAAGAACAGCTGGAAACATGATGCCTCCATGAAAACCATGCATTTCCCAAAGTTGATGCTTGGAGAAGACAGTTTTTTATTTGGCTTTCTTTTATGAATACAAGCAAGGTAATAAAATGTACTTCTTTTTTTCTGTCCTAGTGAGTTTCCATAGGACTTAAATATATTATGTTAAAGAACAGCTTGGAGGCTACTCTGAACCCTTAGCATTAAGAAGGAACAAGGGAGCAAACAGGTGAGCAGGAATCAGAGGTACGAGGAAAGAAAAGGGACAATAAAGGGAGATAGAAGAGAGAAAGAAAAGAAATAAAAGAGAAAATGTTGGGATGGATTGTGGTTCAGTGGTAGAGCACTTGCCTAGTATGTGTAAAGCCCTGGGTTCAATTCTCAGCATGACAGAAAAGTAAACAAACAAACAAACAAACAAATAAATAAAGTCCATCAACAACTAAAAAAATACAATAATGTGACGGGCTGGGGTTGTAGCTCAGTGGCAGAGTGCTYGCCTAGCACGTGCGAGGCCTTGGGTTCGATCCTCAGCACCACATAAAAATAAATAAATAAAGGTATATATATTGTTTATATATATATAAAACAATGTGACATGGCATAACAGTGGTAGCAAATTTCAATGTATTTCTGGGATTGTTTATTGAAAATGTCTATTTCGGGCTCCACCCCAGGTCTGGCCCAGAAAGCCTGGAGGGGAGGAGAGGCTGACAATCTGCATTTTCATCAGGCATCCAGAAGACCATGTACAGAAAGTCAAAAGAATAAACACTAGAATTTTAAGTATAACAGAGACAGATAAAAAATTAACTTCTCATTCATTTTTTTCAGAGCTGCTAGGTTTGCTACTTTATTTTAACTAAGACTTGGCAGGGAAGGGCAGGGCAAGTGGATAACCAGAGGTGATGGAGGAAGGACTAAACATACCTCTCTGGCCCCTCCACCTGGGTGTGATGTCCAGGAGGTCAATGGGGAGAAAAGGGACTTCTATGGCCTGTGAAAAAGGAAGGCTGAGGTAACCCTATCCTTGGCCTAGCCTTGCATGTGATCTTGCTTTGGTTTGGTTTGGTTAAGCACAGGGATGATAATAATCAAATAACAGAGAAATGGGATAGATAGCATCCATAAAACCACACTACCACCTTGTTGGAGTTGGGGATGCAATCAGTGGTGAAGCGCTTGCCTAGCTAGTCCTGGGCTCTGGGTTTGATCTCCAGCACTATAAGAAAAGAAAAAAACAAAACAAAACAACTTTGACTCTGGGAAACTCACCCTAAGACAACCCGGGGAAGGCTTTATGTTGAGAGGAACATGTTTCTAGCCTTCTCCTCCCTTCTCTTTTCCCACTTCTCCTTCCTGCTTTGAGAGTAGGTCTCATGACATGGTCAGCACACATGCTGTCTTTTCTTCTGCAACCTGGTGCCTTTTCCTATCTCCTAGCAAATATTTAACACGGGATCTTGCTAGAAGAAAACCTCAAAAAGCAGAATGTGACAAAACGAGTAGATTTCTTCTCAGATCCCAGGAAGTCAGAGTAAATGTGTTGTCTTCTTATGCATAAAATACCTCAAAATGATGACTAACACACTGAGAGCTGGGGGCATGGGAGGAGCCAGGACTACATGAAGGGTGTATGTGGGACAACAGTCTGTCTGGACCATTGAGGCCCTTGGAGAGCATGCTGTTTGTCCTCCCAACACTCTGCTATGCTTCACTTCAAGAACTTAACAGTTCCACTGGGCATGGGGATGCATGCCTGGAATCCCAGAGACCAGGAAGGCTGAGGCAGGAAGATAGAAAGTTCCAGACCAGCCTCAACAACTTAGTGAGGGCATAAGGACTTAGCAAGACCTTATCTCAGAATAAAAAATAAAAAGGGCTGAGAATGTAGCTCAAAGCAATCCCCAGAACCAGAAAAAAAAAAAAAAAAAAAAAAAAAAAAACTTTAAGTTCCCTTGAAGCTTCTATGTGAGTGAGGTGTCAGA